CGAGATTAGCACGACGAGAAACGGTAATCAGGAATAAAAATGCTACGACCGACGGCATTTACGCTAACTAATCTCCTTCAGGAGGCGAGGAGGCGCTAACGGAGTTAGGACCAGCCAGCCTCCGCATTTCCAAGGGGTTTTCGTCGCTCGGCCGGCTTGTTAGCCGGATAATTGGCCATTTTTATGCTAAGCAGACCCGCGGCTGTTACGCTACCTCGCATTCTCGTTTCCCCCTTTCTTCTAGTCGCTCTTACCTCCGATTGATCGTTCAACGGTATTGTCTTCCCGTCGCTCGGACAGTTTTTCTTTAAGAAGTTGGAATTTTAAAAATGGGAATAGTGTGTTTTGCATAAATTGAGATATTTTCTGAATATTTTTCTGTGGGAGTAATATTTAAACGAGGGGTATGTAATTAATTAGACGTTTATGCACGTAAACATATAAACATGTAAACATGTACACATGTAATATAAACATATATAAACATATAGACGTAAACATATACATTTGCAGGAGAAATATGCAAATATGCATATGAAAAATGCAAAAAGTATATCCAAATATGCACGAAGACATTTGCATATGCAAGATATAAAAGGTACATCCAGATATGCATGAGAAATAGACAAATATATATACAGTTGTGCACGAAAAATAGGCTAATATGTAGAATGCAAAAAGTATATTCAAATATGCACAAAAATAATCAATGCTCGCAAAGTATTTAATCAGTTAACTCGATATAAGCTCGGAAGCCGAAAGGCAAAATGAAATGAACAAATAATAAAAATAAATTCTCCTCTAAATTACATTCTCTTGACAAGAAAAAGAAGAGAAAAGAATTCTATAAAAAACACGAAAAACAAAAAGAATGTTCTTTTCGCTAACAAATCAATGACTTTTTCAGGAAAGTTCGCTCCTCTACGGAGCTCGTAAACTTCCAACCTATTATCTAGAATCGTTTTTAAAAAAAGAAAATTCATTTTTAGATCGGTCGTACATTTCGATTCACGTGCTCCTCTATAGCATCGGTCTCCTTTCTCTCTATCTCGCAGTCGCTACAAGATAAGGCTGTAACGGCGGTCTGTGCCGCGGTAAGGCGATTACCGAATCGCGGAAATACATTTCCCTGGTCAAAGTACTAGCGCACCTTTGTGGTGGAAGTCGCAACGAAAAGGAAAAGACTCACGGTCCTTCAACTGTACCGATTGTTCCCGTTTTATAAAGCGAAATTGAACCGAAACGAAACATTTTCGTGAACGAAATTTTATTTTTACACCCATGTTCACCATCTAATGTCATTTTTGAAAATATCTGGACTACAGTTTGATAAATTTGGAATTGTTTTAATTAAATACTTCTACTCTAGTTTGTTTTAATGTAGGTATATGTATGTATACAAATAGGTAAGTCAAACCTTGATTTTTGTTGAATATTTTTTGACACTTGGTGATCGAAATTGGTTTACTATAATTGGTTGCTTAATTAATCAATTAAAATAATTAACTAATTTTATTTTAGTTTAGTATTTTAATTCTATTTAAAATTATTCAATTCATGAAATGTTGAATTTACGAAATGGAATATCATCAACTTTAACACTTTTAACTTCTTTCGTGATTTAAGTAATTAATTAATCCATCTTGTATGATTCAAATTGCATATTTGATTTCATAATTAAATAAGTGTTTCTTTGTAGCTTTAAATTTCGCACAACTTCATAAAAATCTAGAGTTTGGTCATAAAAAAATTTTTTTCCATTCTGGATATCTTCAATATATCCCATATGCGTTTTTATTTTCTATAAATGTATGTGCAAACATTCTCGGTGTGAAAATAACAAGTACAATAATCATCGTTAGATGATTATGGCCCCTTAACCTTGCCCCTTGCGTGGAAGCTCTGTTTTGACGAAATGTTATCCCCTATCTCCGTTTATGATAGAATTTCGAAATTAAAGGAATCCATGCAGAGAAGATTGGAATTTCGCGTCACGGTTGGCCCTCGAGTGCACAGACGAATCACATTCGCGGCTGTGATACGAAACAATTTTGCGGCTACCGTTCGATCTCGAAATTACAACACACAGCTGGATGCTGAACTAGGTGTAGGCGTCATTGCCGCAAAAAAAAAAA